TGCGTGACACTTCGGCAATATCCGTACAGACTAGACTAGACTAGACTAAAAAATGAAGCAACTTAAACAACTAACATTGAAAGAAATGTTTAATAAAGTAAACAAATAATTTTGATATCCTTTAGATCATAATTGCTCTTTATTTCATAAATTACGATTTCATATTTTTGATTGTATAATTTCTGCATGCCATCTAAACAGATTTAAATTGATCTATAATCCAGAAAAACTCCTAATCGCTGAAGTCCCGATGTTTCCGGATTACAAACTTTCTACTGTATATAATATAAGCAACTATTCTTTTTTCAGTTTATTTACATTTAACTGGATTACAGTACAATTCAGTTTTTCAAAATAAAACTCGTGTGCAACTCTTTCAGGTAAACTATAACAAATATTTTTACCATTTAACAATAGAAATAAATATGTAATACAACCATTATGCCAAAGTATATATTGTAGTGCATGCACATATCTTTATACATGATCTTTTTCATAATGCTTATGAGAAAATGCAATGTTCCTATATGATAGACACTATAAAACCTGATATATCTTTTTCATAATGCTTATGAGAGAATGAAATGTTCTCCATAAGTACTATATGTAATTGATTTTCAAAGTGTCAGACCAGATCCAATAAGTGTGTGGCCCGATTAGATTTTTCCAATAAGCCACTAAAGCACCAGAGCTGTTTTGTATTAATACAAGTCTCGCTAGATGCAAAAAATTAAGTTTCAGGTTAATTTTTACATTTTTGTGCTTATCTTGTGACCACAGTAAAGATTAATGAAAGGCATGTATTCACTTTAATATGCACAGATAACTTTTAAGGGCAAACAGTTACAAATAATTAAATTAGCTAGTTAGATATACCCTTATTCATTATAGATTTACATAGCCACTATTAAATTTATTTTTAAAAAATATTTGTTAAGAAAGCACTATTAAAATTACAATTGGTTAACATGTCAGAGTCAAAAATACATGCATACTTGCCAACCTTTGATTGACATTCAAAAATCAGGAGATTTTTCACAATGTTAAAAAGACTTTTTAAATGATAAAAATATAGTTTTTAATAATGAATTAACTTTAAATAGTAAATAATTCTTAAATGCAAGCAACACAAAAGTACTTTACACATAAAAAAAACATTTTTATTACTTGCATCGTTTAAGAAAACAAAACAACAACCACAAAAAAAAAAAAAAAAAAAAAAAAAAAAAGACACTTTATTTAGTTTTTGTACAAATGTTATAAACAGTGGCAGATTTTCTTTCTTTAAGAAAGAAACTTCATAATTTTGTTCAAAGCAATTGCCATGTAGGCCTGCTTTCGCTAATAAAAGTTTTTCTAATGTGTCATCGCTAATATTAGATCTAAATTTAGTCCTCGTTTTCACAACAACACTGAAAATCCTCTCACACTCTCCATTACTATGGGGAACTGTCAAGATGGCCAACATAATTCTATACAGTTCAGTATGTTTTAAAATTCCATTAGCACCTTTCAGTTTTCCAATTAAACTCCGCTGGGTGTCAGTCCTAGCTGATTTTATAACTTCATCCAAGTTTTCTAATTGTAAACTGCTGTTATGCAGCTGTTGAAACTTTCAATTTCCCCTTCTTTTTAGAACTCCTTTCAAGATAATAATAAATATCAACAATGTGTTCATCCACATTTATTGGTCAAGAAGCTGTCCATTTTTCAGCTGCTAAATCTAAGAGGTGACAAGTGCACCTCATCTGCAAATCTGAATTTTCCTTTCTTAAGATGCCTGCAACACCAGTCTTCCCCAAGCCTACCAATACTGGTGCATTATCGGCACCAAGTGCTAAGCAATTATCCAGAGATACTGCATTTTCTTTTAGAGTTTTAATAATTAGCTGTGCTATATTAAGGCCTGTCAAATGTCCTTCTAAAGTGGGGACAGAAAATAAACTGCACTCAATTTCTGAAGACTCTGGATTAAAAAAAGAAACAACAATTGGATACAGTTTTAAATCGGTATTATTGCTTCCATCCGTAGAGAGGCAGAACTGAGCAGTTTCAATGCAATCAATAACTGAAGATTTATTTTTCAAACCCATTTCTTTAACCTTTTCCCGTGGGCTATAGGGTCCAATTTCGAATGTATTTTGGCTATTTAGTCACTTATTTTAACTGAAAGGAACAGGAAAACAAATCGACAGGGTATTGCACTTCCTAATCCATATTATAATGGAGTAAATTTTAAATTTCCATAGTTTACTGAAATTTCTTGAGACACATTTAAAGTAGTGAACGTGCGGGACATATATGTCTCAGCCCCCGAGAAAAGGTTAACAATTGCACCTGTTTTGGTTCTTGCACTTGAGTATTTCTTAGCGATTTCACTATCGGGAAACATTTTTCTAAATAAAGCTACAGCGTGATCTGATGCATTCAGTGGCAGGTTGTGCTCCAGTAAAAAGGCAGAGAACAGACATTCTGCATTAGCTTTTTGGTCCTCTGTTTCCAAAGAAAAATTTAATTTTCCATTTTTTTCAAAACAACTCATGTTGTCCTTGTGTTTTTGTGTACGCACATGGTTGAGAACATCCGCCCTTCTACCATGCGAAATCGAAAAATCGCAAAGACAGGCGGTACACATCGCAAATGTATTACATTTCCTTGAGGAAATAATGGAAGGAAAGTCAACTGTGTGCCATTTTTGAAATGTATACGAGTATTTCACCTTTCTTGCAGACATAACAAAAGATGATAATTTCTAAAACTATTTCCCGAAGGCACGTGTACTCGCACAAATCGGGGCAAAATGAACGAAATAACTAAAGAACATCCAAATAACAGCTTTCTTTGTCCTCATTGGCTAATATATGCCAGATGACACGCAGTGGACCTCAATACCCACTGGAAAACTGAAGAACGATGTTTCTGGATACGGATGCTCTCACTCACAAAGCAGAAGTTATCTGCTTCGCAAGGTTTTGTTTTCGATATAATCTAGAGAAAATTCAATTGCTTTCAGACTTCCAAAATCACTTTTTTTTTTTTTTTTTTTTTTCCATATAACAAAGTATTAAGCCAAGTTCCATAAAAATCATGAGAAATTTTAAAAATAAGAAAAAGTCGGGAGAAATATATTGTAAATCGAGTTGGCGGGACAGCGGTCGAAAATCGGGAGAGTTGGCAACTCTGTACATGTTACTAGTCTGAAGGAGCTTTGTTCCCTGAGGGACTATGGTTTATGTTTTAGGATTTTGCGTCGAATCACTGTGAATGTCCGTTTCACTTTTCAAACTGTTGCCACCAAATATTATCACCTTGTATTATATTTGAAGAAATTAAAATAATGGAGAATCTGCATAATGTATGTATGTTTCTTGCATTGTGATAAAAAAAGGGGTACCTAGAGCCATCAAATTTTGAATGATGTAATCCTACTGCAAATATGGGCTTCCTTTGAAATTTTATTATTGATTTCATATTTTATAAAAAATTTTTGATTAACAAACTTATCTTCAGCACATGAGACTGTGTATTGGAAATTCTAAAGATATGCTCAATATAAAATTATTTTGCGATATTGCTCTTGAAGACTCAGGTGCTAAGCACATGTTTTATCAGGTACCTGAGCAAAAATCCACATCCTGTATAGAACGATGTAAGAATATGCATAACATTTTTAACATAACGTATGATAGTTCATATGTGAGAAACTAATTCCCTTGCATTGCATGTCAAGTCTTTGTATTTCAGTTACTTGGTAAACGATGTCTTGGACTAATGGCAATTTGCTGCTGCAATTTTTATGCCATAACGATGATAAGCTGCTGGCCTCAGAATGGAGAAGTTTCTACTGATTAAGAAGGCATAGGAAAAGGTGGAGGTTGGTCGATGGGTGGAGCTACCTGGTTCAAAAACATCTTGTGGCTAATGGCGATATTACAGAATAAGCGAATCTACTTGCAATTCAGGCATTGATTGGTGGGAGGGGTCAAATTAAAAATTGTGAATTTAAGTTAGAAATAATAATTATTTTACAATTTATGGGAAGCAAAGGGATCAGGGAATGAAATAATGGTGGCTTAAACAACTATGGATATGAAATAATAAATTAAGTTACATAGTATATGTAAAGAAAGGCAGGGATAATGGCTAACAAGTGAACTGTAAAAAGTTTGATCTGTCGTGTTGCTGATTCCACTCATGATTTCAAAAAATCCGAGTTTTGGCATGTATGATTTGGAAATATTGTGCATGACTTTAATTTTACTTAACATTTCTCATGAAACTTAAAAATTCCAAACATTGTGTTTTTTCAATTGGGCCTATGGAAGAATTGCTGGTATTAGCTTTGTTTGGTTTTTTTCCCAATAGAATTTGTTTCTTCAATATTATTAGTACTGGAAATGCTATTAGGTTTATTGTGTGCAGCAGAAGCCCAGTTAGGGTCTTGTGCATTTGGTTTAGCTGAGGGGTTGAAATTCTGATTTTTGGCCATATCGGCGAAGGAAATTCCTTGTTTTATAGAAAAGTCTTTTTTTTTTGGTTGATTTGATCTATTTTTTGGGAACTTAATGCACCCACGATAGGACGAAACATGACCTCCGAGACAGTTACAGCACTTGCGTTTATCAGTTTTACCTTTATCAGGGCAATCCATCATCTTATGTTCTAATGAACATTTCACATGTCTGGGTGTGAAAAAGCAGTTTTCTAACGAATGGTGCCACTTTTGGCAATTATAGCACTGTGGCACCTGACTCTTTGACATTCAAATTGTTTAAATTTTTGAGAAAGCATTCCATTTTATACAGCTCTTGCTTATGCAAAATTTAGAATGAAAGAAATTTAAGCATAATCTGTAAAGTCAGATTTTACATCAGTTTTCCTTTCTAATTCTAAACTGTAAAATATTATGTTATTTTATTTGGAAAAGAAAACTGAATACAAAATTTTATTCATAAAAAACCATTATGAGACATATTAAAATAACTGCACAAGACAATAAATAATAATCTACATTGATTTTATTGGCAGCCAATTGAAATACATGATTTCAGCAACTTTTCTGATTTAGCATGTTTTGCTGAATAAAAAATAACATACAATGCACAACCTTCTGATTGTACCATCAAAATGCAGATACAAATTCTTTTAAGGTGATGTCAAAAGTTCAAACTTGAATGATGTGCACAAAGCTAACAGCTCTTCATTAAGTTTTGTTTTCCTTCTTCTCATATGAATTAATTCCAGCAAGCCTGAACCATACAATTAATAGAAAGAGAGAGAAAAATTCCTCCCAGCATGTGCTCCACCACCAACATTTATTACATGAAGTTCAGACCTCGTGGCATGAGTTTTAACAGTTATAATTTTTCTAGAGTCTTTTTAAAAAATCTTGGAAAACAGGCAGCTATAAAACAATGTCAAATCTTGTAAATATAAAAATTGTTAATAGCGCTTAAAAGTATTGATGTTAAAAAACATACAGAAAAATATCACAAAACTAAGCATGATTTTTGGTAGGTTTTTTTTTTTTTTTTTTTTTTTCTTTTTCTTTTTCATTCTAACAGAAAGAAATAGGAAATTTTATATAAAGGCAAAAACATATGTTGGCAATAACATCCTGTAAGTGCCATACAATTTTCCACTGGAGGCAGCTTACTAGATTTTATATTTGATGAGTAGATCATCTGGAAATAAATAAGAAAGAGTCAGACAAAAAATTAAAACACACCATTAATATAATAATAATACATGTGAAAAAGTACAACTGAATCCCAATTTAAAGAATATTGTTTAATAGTTTCCTCCCATTTAATGAATTTCTTTGCATAAATTAAACTGCCTACAAATTCCCCCACTTCTTTATTTTTTAAATCATAAAGTAAAGACAGATATCAGATGAGTTTTTAAAAATATTTGCAGAGAAAAAATGCCATTAGACACTAACCAATAACCCTTTAAAAATATTTTTTCATCAGATTGTTTATCAAATACCGAAAAAATAATAACAGGATATTGTTTTAAACACATAAAAACTGCTTCTCATTGTCTAGAAAATAACATCTTTTTTTAAATCTCAGTGTGCTTTATCTTACATGATATGTCAACTCTATAATAGTTCCAACACATTCAATATATTTTCTAATCTCACACTGCAGTATTAATGAAAACTTATAAATGATTGTTCATAGAGATTCAATGGAATAAACATATTTCTTTTTCCTCCTTCTTGTACTAAAATAAGAGAACTTTGGTAACAGCAGACTGACAAAACAAATACATGCAGAAAATGCTAAAACAAAATCCACAAGCAAAAATACGATTCTTTGTAAAAATCACTGCAAATTAATTGCTTATTAAGCTTTTTAATATTAGTTGCTTTACACTAAACAACTTCAGAAATCTGGAATATGATATATAATTTCCCATCCTTAATAATAATGCTAGAAAAATATTAACTATAATATGAATACAGCAGTAATATATTGAAAATATTTAAAGAAGTTACATGACATTTTAACTAGACTCTGATGACTGCACAGAAACCCGACTTATAAATTCCATCACCAGAGTACATACATCTAACCTTCAAAATGAAAGAGAGTTGGCCAGGCAAAATGGATCTCACATAGATTGGATATCTTTCAATGTACTCTCGACTTCCTCCTGCAGCAGGTGGTTTTTTTCTCGCTCAGCAAGGATTTCATCTGCATTGAAGGAAAAATAATAATGTCAAGCTGTTATATTTCAGAAAATAAATCAACAATCTCAAGCAATTAATGTAAACCTAACACTTCTACATAATTTGTGTTTATTTATTTTTAATTACAAATTACAAATAATTCCCAAATCCCTAAAAAATACATTTAAAAAAAAATCTTTCTTATACGACCTATTAAATATTTTTTTAGAGCAACAATTAACTGTTATTAAATATTGTTAAACTAACTATGTATATAAGCTGTTATTATATATGTAGAGCGATTTCATTATTTGTTCAAAATGATTTTTTTTTTTTTTTTTTTTTTTTACATTATCAAAACATGAAAATTTTCACTACAACGCTTTTGGGAAGCGACTGCAACCAATGACTTTGAAAATAAAGGCTGGGTATGTATATATATTTACATTTTTTATTGGGGTATTTCCGCATAGCACTGGTTTTAAATTTCATTTCTTTTATGTCTTTTGTAGAGTTGGTTCAGAATTTATTACTACTTTTTTAGTCTTTATATATGCATGTGATAAAAATTTGGAGTAAGCTGCAATGGATTGACGATGGTTCTCAGCATTATAACTTGGACATTAGAAAGATTCGAAGGAGAGACTTGTAGACAGACACAGCTGAACTGAACATAATCTTTATTGCTGGACACAAACTAATTCTCGAAACTACGTTTTTCATTACACATGATCAATACATACCCTACAATTTTATATAGAGCATCACATTTTAATAGCATACTTAGCAGCACAACAATGCACAGCACCCAAGCGGCAACAGAGCTGTAAGCTGCGCATTTATCCAATATGTCTGTCTGATAAGAGAGAGGTTTTAGTTTACATTCTTAGAGTTTAGGTTCCAAAATAACTACACCATCAGTGTTATGCAAGATGGCTTGATCTAGAATCGACACAATCCAGAGGCATTATTACAATTTTTAGAACAGAGAAGGATAATTAAGGGGTTGCTGTTGGAGGGGTATGTAAAATATAAAACATCTATCTTTCAAATAATAAATTAATAAAAGCCCTTTATCTCCATCTTCATTCTAAAAATAACAAAGCAATTTTTCTACCTCCCTGCATTTCTGAAAAAGATCCATCATCTAACCTCTATTGTGCATTTATCAATGAAATTTTAACCCAACATCTGAATATTAATCCATCATGTGATCTGAAATGTAATCTGGTATAAAAGGTAATTGCTGTGCAATCTCTCTCTCTCTCTTCTGCTTTGGCCTTTTCTTTCCACTGCTTCATCTTGCCGCTAGGTATGCAGAGTTTATTTTTCCATTTTCGTCCATAGCTTAAGAAGATACAAGCTGTACAAAATTGTGGGGTGCACGTCCACCCGTAAATTATGCTTGGGAATCTGTTTATGAATATTAAGGCTTACACTGTTATGAAAATAAAAAAAATGTTTCCAAATCAGCAACCATGTCTGAAAGTTTATGGCTTTATGCATCCACCTATCACGCTCAGTATATTACAACAAGCATCTATCAAATCTTCTCAATATTATTACATACATATATTTGGCATTGATGAGAGCAATATGATAGAAATTGGAACCAGATATTGCAGTCTCATACATAAAATTTCAATGTTCTACGACTAATCTTTTTTGAGTTTATGCGAGAGTGCATACATATAAACGTCGCAAAAAAAAAAAAAAAAAAAAAAAAAACTCTTTTGAATCCACTTCAGAATTCTTTATTCAGCTATAAATACGGATGCCATAACAAATTGTCCAAGCAGATTCCGGAAGGCAGAGCCAATTCTACATACAGGGTTCGTACACATTTCCTTACATGAAAATTAAGGACTTTTAAGGACCATCAAAGAAAAAATTAAGGACCTATCAGCAAACAAAAAAATGAATAGAATAAAGCAATTATCCATACAAACCGACTTCATGCTTGTAATTTCACTTTAAGAAACTAACAGAAGTGTGTATTATGCACTATTATTAAATTCAATTTAATACTTACCATAAAACAATTTTGAAAATTAAACTAACTCCCTACAAGTTATGAAGTAGATAACATTAAATTAGGAACATAATTTCTTGAAAAACATGTATAAGTGTATTTTACACTAATAACAGTCACTATTTTAGAGTGGTTTTGCCTATGTGTAACGTGTTTACGAGCCAGTTTCCCTTAGAAAGTCCTCCACGAAGGCATCCCTCCTCTTAGGCAGATAGCCCACGAGGCTTTGCCATAATCACACACATACACACACACACACCATATTTTAGAGATTTACATGATTATTATTTAACTTATTATTTAAACACATATTTATTTAAACACAGTCAACTACTATTATAATCACAATGTAAGAATATTTTGCAGATTAAAATAACTGATTTGTAAACATACAATTTATTTCCTTGGTTTTTTGAAAGATACTACAATAATAAACTGTACAATAAAACATACAAAACATTTGTGCTTTTTAAAATCTGAAATCTTTTCAGCTATTTTAACATCTAATTTATTTATGTCTTCTATTTCCTTTTCTTTAACTATTCTTCTAAGTTCATTTGGTTTGATAAACAAATCAATGTTCCTGCTGGTCTCAGCTTTCATCTGCTAAAGCATCTACTTCTTCATTAAATGTCTTTAATGTCCCTTTGAAGAAAGTTTTTCTTCTGCTTCATATAATCAATTTCTTCTTCAATAATATTTCTTTTCCTCTTTGAATTTTCAGATTTAGTTAAAGATTTTTGTTCTTCTAAATACTGAACGTTCCTCTAAATACTGAACTTCTAAATAACGAACTCCACTTCTTGCAGAAGCTGCTGCTGATCTCATTTCTTTATTAATTTCGATATTAAGAACACCTCCAGAAAATTTTATGTAATCAAATACTGTGCGTTGAAAAATGTATGATGAGTCACTTAAATTTTCAATTTCAATTGCTTTATTTACAGAGAAGCCCCTTTCCACAGAGGCCTGTTCATGTGACAAGATAAGAATACTTGTCACAGTGAATACTTGAATAGTGAAAATATACATTTTTTACTATATATATATATATATATATATATATATATTTTCCTAAACAATATTGATTAATTGATTATATTATCTCCTAAGTTTAATTAAAGTAGAATTATTTTAAAAGAGTGAATCCATACTGGTAAGTTATATTTTGAAAGATGTATACATATATATACAGTACAAATTCCGAGATCCGAACATCCAATATCTGGAATGATCTAAAATCCGGACCTCAAAGCCACCACCAACCAATTTCTTAGGGCTTTTTTGAAGGGAAGGGGTATGCTTTACGCATGCACATTAGATTTTTTTCCTCATCATAAAAAAAATGCCAGAAATCCCGATTCTTAATCTTCAGTTTGGTGCTAAATAAAATATCTCATTATTGAAGAAATAATTATTTTAGCATAAATTTGTGTGATTAGTAACTTGACTCCATAGCTGCGTATCTGCTTGGCATAATCTCAAACCGAAACATTTGTTAATTTTACACCAACTAATATTTTATATCCTTGATGCCGAAATCGCGAATCATTATTTATTGTATTTTGCTTTCATCACCGCATGTTTATCAACGAATGACAACTTGAGTGATGAATCATGCAGCGATGCCAAATAACAGAGTATTATACGATTACAGATTTAAGTTTAATGCGCTAAAATGTTGACAAGGGGAGATTTAGCAGAAATTTCTTTCCTTATGCTAAAAATAGATTTTGTTAATGATACTCATAGGACAAACGATTATATTTAGTGCTATTTGAATTAAGAATAACTGATTTGTTATTCACATAAAGCCAGAACCAGCTCCAGAGCTCGCATGGCCGCACCAGGCGGCAGAATTTAGCGAAGTTAAACAGAAGTTTTTTCATTGCGATGACAATGCCCAATCATCAATCAATTAACGGAGGGCGAAATCTGTAGTATGGTTCTAAATCCAGAAAATACAGCTACCGATAGTGAAGAAAGTAACAGAGAGGTTACTGAACGAGAAAAAATTTTGATTGACAAGTTATTCGGAATTCTCGACACAGCAATTACAGGACTTGAACAATGGAACTTAATAACTGAACAAGAAATTATATGTCTATAGTATTAGTCTAAAGTATTAGCAGAGAAAACAAATCAAACAACTCACATTGAAAGAAATGTTTAATAAAGTAAACATATAAATATTAAGCTCTTTTCTTTTGTAAATTTTGATACCCTTTAAATCATAAATGCTTCATTATTTCATAAATCACGATTTCATATTTTCAATTTTATAATTTCTACGTGCCATCTTAGTAGATTTAAAATGATCTAATATCCGGAAAAATCTCAAATCTGGGATCGCCGAAGTCCCGACGAGTCCAGACCTCGGACTTTGTACTGTATAAATATATATATATATATATATATATAATACGGAATGTATATTTTCAGTTAAACTTCTACCCAATAACTTTAGTAATTCATGAAAGTTAATTTTGCGTCTAGTTAATTCAGGAAAATTAGTTTCAATTAGTTGTTTTCAGCTTTAAAAATATTTAAAAAATTTTTTAATTAGTTAGTTATTTTCAACTAATAATTGTATCGCCATTAGCAAAAATTATGCATTACTATCAACAACAAACATAGGTTTAAACCAAATACTTAATTGTCTATTGAAGCTTCAAAACGTATTTCCGAACTTCACTTTTTCTTTTCTCGGCTAGCGTTACCGAATTTGCCCTTGGCGACCTAAAATCGAAATGGAGCCAACAGATTTCCCGCGAAATCGATAACAGACCCTCTGCAGAAATAAACTCATAATCCCGATATCCCATACATATAGTATGTGCAAAAGAGAATAAACTCCGTAGAAGGTGATAAAAAATTAATTTATGGCTTAATTGAAACAAACACAGAAATTAAGCTAAGCAAAACCGTGTAAAAACAAATTGAAATGATAAAACGAAACTTAATTTTCATGTGAATTTTCAGTGCTGACTCTCCCATTCTAGAAATTTCAATTTGTTTCAGACAAAGACCACATTTAAGGATTGCCATCCATCAATATCCAGTCTTTGTAGTCAGCTTGATGAAGCCACAGTTTATTGAAAATGCACTTTCCAGGCATCTCGTTCCTATTGGCGTCGGAAGGGTTGTGGCCTTCCAGGTTGGAATTGCTCTAATTTTGGCAAATATTTTCAGAATCCCCCCCCTTTTTTTTTCTCGAGCTCCTTCATCATCACTTTCGCCTCTTAAAGAACTTCCAGCTTCACGCTTTCGTCACAGTCTGCCTAAATTTATGGATAACACCTGTTTCGAAAGATTGCGTGAATAGCCAATCAGACACCGATACTTTCGTTCGGGTAGTTTTTTTTTTTTTTTTTTTTTTTAATCGTTTGCAATGCAAATCCGCCAACAGATTAGTTAAGAGCCGTGTAATTTTAATTCCATATTCATGAGAAATCGTAATTCCCACTTAGAATGGCAATCATTAGAAATGATAAGAAATGTCAAATGAGCAAAATTAAGGACCGTTTATTTATTTTGGCCAAAATTAAGGACTTTTAAGGACCAAAAATCATTTTTGAAAAAATTAAGGACTTTTAAGGATCGTACGAACCCTGTATACACAGTCAAAAGTCCTTAATCCGGACCTCAAAGCTACAAACTTTCTGCGCATGCGCATAATATGTTTATGCATGCACGTTTAATGTATAATAGACGGTATAAGCCAAGCTAAGATTATCTAATTATCTATTTCAGTTAATGTTGCAGATTGTGTTGTTCCTTAACCTTCGAATTGGATCCGGATTATTATTTTTTGCAGAGTGTTAGAGCAATTTTATAAAAGTAATCTTGAACTTTCGATTATGTCAAATAGAATTTCCAATGCTGGAGCTACCATAGGATCTACAAAGCGAAAGCATATTTCGATGCCAATCAAACAAAAAGTGGAATTGCTGCAAAAAAATGGATAAAGGCATATCCTTTGATTCTCTAACCATTCCAAAATATGTTTATCAATTTCATGCTGCTCTGCCGGGGAGGGGGATGTCACGTAAATTTCCTTACTAAATGTAGTATTTTATCTCGATGTACTCTATCTTTGATATGATTTAAATCAAATTCCTCATCATTATAATTCGCTTCCGATAGTGAAGAAATTGACACAGAGGTTATTGAAAACGAAAAAATTTCGATTGACAAATTAGTCGGTATTCTCGACAAACCAATTATAGGACTTGAACAGCGGAACTTTGTAACTGAACAAGAAATTATGTTTGTTTACAGAATTAAAGAGAAAGTATTATCACATAAAACGAAGCAACTTAAACAACTTACATTGAAAGAAATGTTTAATAAAGTAAACAATAAATATTAAGTTTTTTTTTTTTTTTTTTTTTTTTTTGGTAAATTTTGATACCCTTTAGATCATAATTGTTCTTTATTTCATAAATTACGGTTTCATATTTTTAATTTTATAATTTCTGCATGCCATTTTACCAGATTTAAATTGATGGTCCATAATCCGGAAAAAAAACTAATTCAGAATCGCTGAAGTCCTGATGAGTCCGGATTAAAGACTTTTGACTGTATAGCTTTCTATTTCACCAATCAATGAAATTCATTATGTTTTTCATGTTTTCAATGAATGGTTTTATGACATATATTAGATTTATATAACTTAGCTTCAGCTTACATATTCTCACACAAAATGGACTTTTCTGAAATGATATGCCATTTTTTTTTTTTTTTTTTTTTTTTTTTTTTTAATTAGCACTAAAATTTCTGCTTGGTAACATTAATTGAATATGGCATATATGATTATATACCACAGCTTATTTAATTAACTTCCTTGCTTGCTTTTTTTAAATAAGTTTGAAACTAGGTTTAATCCATAGAAAATTTATATTTCTTTTACTTTGCTGTAAAAATTTTTATTTATCAACTTTTCTTTTTTTAATTTTTCAAAAAAATTCTGGATTTTAACCTATAAAAATTTTCACACCGTCTTAAACGAAAATATTTTTTAGGCATAGATCAAAAAATTAAAAATTTTGATTAAACAATATCAGAGAAAAAAAACTGGTGTAGCATTAAAAGCAATAACAATGCCAAAAATCAGCATCATTCTGTTTTACACTGTTTAGATTTCTGTTTCATTTATTTTTAGTATTCCTTTATTTTACACAATATTTAACAAATTTATTTTTATGAGCATAATATATTAAATATTTATTGCAAATTTGTAACTGTATTACAATTTTTAAGAATATTACTTAAAAATTAATAATGGATTAAATCTAAAAGCCAAATGTTTGGTTACTTCCATTAATAAACAACTGTTGATGTTACATAAAATCGGTAATGATTTGCATCATGCAAGTTTTGCAAAATATTTACATTGAGTAAATAAAATTATAAATTATTTTTCCAAAATGCAGTCCTTTTATACACAAAAAAGATAAATAATTGTACTGATAATAACAATAAAATGTGGTGAATATCTTAATTGAACATAATGAATACATTGAGAAAATATGTTAATTTCCTCTCACATTATATAAAAGACTATGTTAAATGAGATGCTCAAATTCCCAGGACTTGCAGTTAAAGAATAAATACTCGCTAACTTTTGCTTCACACAAAACAAAAAGAAACTATGCAAAATTTTTAAGGCTTAAAATTATTCTTCTAATTAAAATTTTATACAGGATCTTCAGATAAAGAAGAACACAATGGAGTTCCATGCAGCTTCAATCTTCTAAGCATGCAATTAGAGAACTTGATTACATTAATATTCAATACAAATCTTAAATGCAACTACTTTAGAAATGGCCTGCACGATTAATTCAAAATTCATTATTTATAACATAATTTGATGCACAAAATAGAACTATTGAAAAAATTAGCATTTCGTTTCAGAAATTTTTGACTTTGTAACACATATACACAATTCTAATATATATCATCATAAGATATTCATTCAGTATATGAAAGAAGCAATTTAAAGTTATCTGATTGAAAAATAAAAACAGAAGATGTAAATCTATAATCCTTTTTTTAGGGGTAGGGGACCTAATTTACCAAAAATTCTTATTAATACCAAATTTAGCCCAAATTACAAATGTGATTTCTTTTCAGAGGGGACCGCAAAGGATCCTTGCATAATTTTCAAATTACATGGACCCAAATAATATATTCAATATTAATTCAGGCTACATTAATATGATTACTAGCCAGCAAGTATTAAAAAAAAATAGAGAAAGGGAAAAAAATTAAATACCAACAGTGTTTTGAGTAAATATTTTTCCTGGATCAGAGCTATTTTTATAAGATTCTGCCCCTTCAAAGAACTGGATATCAATTATAACCAGGTTTAGAATAAATTTCAAGATCAAACAAAATATGGCAATACTTAAGCTCATAAATTTTCAAAGAAACGTGATAATTTCAGCTTACAGCAGTAATTGCATCAAGGAAAAAAAGGTAAAATTTAAGGGTTAAGGGCAATTACTGCATAATTTGTGGCACAGGATTTACACTAATGACTTCTTGAATTTTTGTGGTCTGTAATTTATCTTAATACTTTCATGAAAAATTTGCAGCTTATTATTATACTACTAACATATTACACTAACTATCTTATTGAAATTTCAAACCTGAACCAGCATTTTCAAAAAAAGTATCCATTAAATACAAAGCAGTAACTTCTATAATTAAATAATGAAGAATTTGTAAGTACATACATTCCTCATTTTGTTGAAATATGGGGCACAGCAACTTAATTTTACATACACTTAGTCTTCCACCTGAACATGTGCACCTCCAAGCCCAAATTTCAAATTTATTTATTTATTTTTTTTATATTTTGAGGAAATTTAATGACATTTTGATACAAAAATCAACTATTTAAAGCAATGAGTTGTCACTTGGCAAAGGGTAAAATACTTATGTTTCAAACTAAATCAGAAAATTCAACAATTTAAAGGACACGCATTTCATATTTCTCTCTTAAATTTAAAACAAATGCATTGCTACTACACAAAATAAAATATTTTTACATTCCATACACCAATGTACTGCCATTCACCAAAGCATATGTGTAATATTTAATGTTTCTTTCTAATTTAATCAATCTGTTACTGATTAAGGGATTTAAAAGCAGTTAAATACAATTTTTCATTTTCTATTAATAATTTGCTGGACACATAAAAATCATTACATGAGTGTACATTGAATTCTGTGAATGTTGTTTACTGCCCAAGATTTCCATTTAAGTGAAACGTTTTTATATATGATGACATATACACATACATTTTTATTTTTATAACATACACATACATATTGTTTTCTTTATATGGTAATGTAATACACATATCTTCTTTAACTGAAATCTGTTCACTAATAACATTTACATCATGAAAGAGGACTTCAATAGTATTATTCAATCATGAAGAGTGACTGAACAGCTATAAAAGAAACTGAAAAACAGGAAAAATCTAAAATTTGTGATGTATTTGATGATTGTGAACTTGATGTTTATTAAGTCTCAGAAAAATCGCCTTAAATTTGCATTGTGAAAAAGTTTCTGCCTGATTCCAGACAATTTTGTAGATGGAAAGTACCATTTTTCTGTAGAAAATTAACACATTTTTACTGGCTTACAAAACTGAGTAAATAAAGCAGACAGAATTAACAAAGATAATTAAAAACAAAGATAAAAAACATTAAACTACTTCATATATTATTAATAATAAACCCCTTCTTTGAAGTTTGCTAATTTTAATAAATACCTTCCAATCGATCAACTTCTTTCTGAAGCTTTTGTACAGATCTTTCAGCAAACTCTGCCCGAGCTTCAGCCTACAAAAGAAAACTCAAACATTTAAAAGGGTGTGGGGAGAAAGAAAAAAATAGCTAAATTAGATTCTATCATCATATAATGTATCCTCTTATATACTAGGCTTATTACCTTCTTTTATTAAAAAGTCTTAATTATGCAATTCAGCATATATAACTGCTTACATATACTGTTAACCTTTCAAAGGTCATCACCAAACAGAGTTCATATTTCAGTTATGTACTGTATTGGGCACAACACAGCTCGTATCACAAATTTATGGCTGACAGATATATTATAAATTTGAGACGAATACTTTAATATTGCAATAGGATTAAGCAATAGAATAGCATATCCCAAAATAATCAATGTCCCTCTGCAAACCGAGAAATAAAGTATTTAACAAAACACATTTTAATTACAAACAGTAATTAATGAAATCATATTTCCTACACATTTCTGCACAAAATTTTAAGGACCAATAATGAAAAAAAAAATTAAGCACCTGTCAGCTAAACAAATTTAATAAACAAAAGCCAGTATTGGCACTCAAACTTCACTTTTGTAATATCATTCTAAGAACAAAATAAATCTCTAAGAAGGATACATTATTATTAAACGCAGTCAAACATTTAATATAATTAAGCATGTTTTAATATTGATTGTAAAATATTATTAGGGTAATTATGCATAAAAAGCTACGAAACATATATATTTCTATACAACTGAAAACAAAATAGTTGTGTGTCTTTTCAATTTGAAAATTTTCTGAATATTTTATTTAATTTACATCATTCTTTTCTAAGTTTATTTGTTCAATACACAAATCAGTGCTCCAACGAGTTTCTGCTTCATCTCCTAATGTTGTTAATGCTTTAACAATATGAAGAACAGTATTTTTCTTTATGTAATCAAATCCTTTCTCAGTAAGTTTTCTCTTCACTTTAGGATTTCAGATTTAATTGAAGATTTCTGCTATTCTAAAGTGCATGTATTGAAAATACATCAAAGAAACTGCTGATTTTATTTCTTTAATAATATGAGCATTGATAATAAATATAAAATGATATAAGGTCTGTCATAATGGTGCAAGAGCCATTATGGCAGAATTTTAAAAGTTAGTGAACCACTGAGCAAAATTTTTAGAATTCAGGACTGACACTGGGCTAAATCAGGACCTATAGAGATTGCACCAGGTGGCAAAATGCTTACCCTTGTATACCATGCAGTGAGACATGAGTGAGGCATAAGAGGAATCTCTTAAATTGTCAGTTTTTTATTTCTTTATTTATAGAAAAATTCCTCTCTACAGATGCCTGTCCATCTTACAAGATTAGAACCACTTTTGCAATCTTCCAACTTGTGTCTAGTGAAAAGATGAGAAAATAAAGTGAAGATAAACTTGTTAAGTGAAAGACTTTTTACGGATCAAAAGCAGAAAATTCAAATAACTTTGTTTTTACTATTTTTACAAAAATTCTTCCAAAATAAAACATTCATTACACATTTCTTATAAAACCCATTAATTACGTGTTAATGCCATGAAGACATTTTTCATTTTGTCACATTTTTCTACAAATCTTAAATTTCAAATCCTTCTAAACCTTCCAAGGCGCCAGCCAGGTCTACAAATTACACAATTCTGCAAGAGCAAAAAGCCAGAAGATTTTTAAATAAAAAAATTCAGAAATGTAAAGTAAATTTTTAAAAGAGAACTGACACACATTTTAATATTCTGAAACAACTACACAAGGAAAAAAAAAACTCTTATGAAAAACACAAAAGAAGACAGATGAATTTAATTTTTAAATAACTAAGTAGTTTTTGCTTTTGTTAAGACATACCTGGGAACTGTTTTATATAGCATTTGTTATCTTATTTATTTTTCAGAATCAAAATATTTTTAAGATGGCAAAATGGAGAGTAGTGTTATTTTAAAATCTGGCATGGAAAAATAAAAATGTTTTGCTTTAATGTTATTTCTTACTTAAAATTTTAATCAATTATCATTATTTTAATTATACTTACCAATTTTATTATATCTGTAAAAATAAAATAGTCACAAATTTCTGGATAAAAAATTTTGTATACAAATTAATTTTGAAATCGCCAAAATGATGATGAGTTGTTAAATTTAGCATAGTATAATAAAGTATCTCAAAAAGAAAGTTGTTTTCACGAAATATTTTATGAACTCTTCATTACCAAAAAAGAAATAACTTTCAAATGTTAATGTTCCAATAGAAGCAGGGTCTTGTGCCTAGAAATTAAGGAATTGCATCCATTCTTATTAAAAAATAGGAAAAAATTCAAATGATAGCCCATAAAATACATATTTCTCAACAAATAAAAAAACATGTCTAAAAATGTTAACACTCAAATGGCAGTCATATAAAAACAGAAGTGTCAGATAAATTAAGGAACTTTTGCAGATTTTGACCAAAACTAAGTACTTTCATAGACCAAAAATTGTTTAAAAAAAAAAAAAAAAAAAAAAAAACTACAGACTTTACAAACTCTGGAAATGCAAAATCGGAAAACAAAACTCAAATTTTTAATTATTTCTTTAATTAAATAATGCTTATAAAAATGCAAATGTATTTCTAGATACTACAATTAAGTAAATGATTGTGTATTTGTTTTTATTTATTCATTTAAAGCATTATTTTACTGTATGTACAGATTCACTAAAATAATAACAACAATAAAGCCTTTTGAAGATAAGAGAACAGAAATTCTGTAGCAAAGGTTTTGCCCCTCATTACAGTACAAAAAATTAAAACATACTTATGTCTAATATCAATGATATTATGTAAAAAATTTACCTCCTGAAGCCTTTGTGACAACTGGCGAATTGTAATGTCATATGCCTCTTCTTTTTGCATTGCCTTTAAGAAATATAATGTAAAATATTTCAATAAATTTAACATATAAACATTCAATAAATGCATATAATATTTCAGATTTACAGGCAGCCCTCAACTTTTGCATGTAACTAGTTCCTGAAAAAGTGTGTGAATTGATCAAAAGTAAAGGGATATAAAAAACACTTGTTTAAAAGTATTTATTTATGAATATATATATATATATATATATATAATGAAGTTAACATGGGTGTTTAAGTGCTTTTGGGAATTTCTTTACAAACTTACCAAGAAAAAGTTGAATACCATTCTTTGTTTTCTTGATAAAGATTTCTATAACATGATGCATCTTTCTCAAGTGCCCTACATACTTGAAATACACATTCTCCTTTGGGATCAAATTCTTCCTTGATAGTAAAAAATTTGTCAAGATTCATGAAGGCTTTATTCATATTTTTTAATTGTCAAAGTCTGGAAGTTTTTATCAACTTCTTCTTTACTTTTATTGTGTATTTCATTGTTGCTCAATTAAGCATTCATTTGATACTGAGTGAAATTCAATCAACTCATTAACATCTTCATTGTTGACGTTTAAGTTTAGTTTATTCATTGGGTTAATCATTTTATCTGCTATAGCTTCTGGCGTTTCTTCAAAATTTATGAAGTCGCTCATCATTCGTAAGCGTAACTATTTCCAGGAACCTTTCAATATCGATCCATAGAACCTTTCATATAGAGACTCATAACCAGCCCATGAGTCTCCAATATTGTTTACTGTGTCCCATATATTGTAGTTCTTCCAAAAATCTGTTAATCTCATCTTACCTGTCAGTTGCCTTGATGGATTGATTCATTATTGTCCTCATAATAAATACCATTTAAAAGTAGTATTACTGTTTGGTCAACAGGCTGTATGAACCAGGTAGTATTGAGAAGAAACACAACATTGATTTCCAGGTATAAATTCTATGGAGATTTTCAGTGCTCTAAAGCATTGTCTAAGATAAAATTGCTTTAATCATAAATTATTATTTTTACAATGTTGTTTAACTGTCAGACCAAAATGAAAGCTGAACCAATCTTTAAATATTTAGTAACCCATGGATTTTTATTTGATTTGCAAATGACCGTAAGCAATTCTTTATCTTTCCCTTTCAATGTTCAGGGATTTTCCTAACTAAAAATATCTTCAATTTTAAATCACTAGCTAAGTTTTCACCAAGAAGCAATGTCAGTTAGTTTTTGGAAGTTTTATGTCTAGGGGCAACTCATTCTTACTTTGAGACAAATTGCATGATTAGGCATTTTTTTTCCCAAAATATATCCGTCTCATCTACACTGAATATTTGACTAGTAGAGAGTAGTTTCCATTTACAACAATTTTGGACAACAAGAAAATAAATTCTTTTGCAGCATCTTTATCTGCATCAGCCGATTCTCCACTTAATTTAATATTATGTAAAGAATATATCATTTTAAATTTGTTGAACCAGCCATTACTTGCTTGAAAGAAAATGCTTGAATCTGCATTTTATCTAGTCTTCAAACTAAGAACCTTAGCTTGAATAATTGAAAAACTTGAACATTATTTTGATGTTAATCTTCAATCCCTGGTGACAAAGATATTTCCATTTCACCCATCACTATACCGTGTCTTTTGAAAACAGTGTAAGGAAGATGTATTTCCATAGTTTTGAATGTATTCCGTAATTTTATTTTATTTAATTTTTTTTTTCAAAACTGAACATGCTGTATATGTATTTACATCATACAAACGTCCAATTGAAGCAAAATATTCACGATGTTCAGAACATTTAATTATTTCCACCTTTGTCTCAATGTATGAAGTTAACAAGTCCTTAATTTCTTTTTGTTCGTGTCACCACTGAACTTTCTCTGTTTCTCACTTATGTTCATAACATACAGGAACAAAATATTTAAACATAAAACAAATGAAGTGGCAAAACACTCAACAGGTTGACACATGCCTTAATGCAAGATGGAAACTGTTCTGATATCTTGTTGCTCGGAACAAAACAGTACAAATTATGACTCCAGAAAGCTGCTATAGGAAGTATGTTTGTGACATATGATACCTACCCCTACTCTCACCACAGCTTTGAAAGCCTTCTGTTGACAAGAGTAAGGGGAAGTAAACTTTGTCATTAAAAAATCTTTAAAATATTGAAATTTTTTAAAATGCAAAAGAGCAAATTGTGTGAAGGTTGAGAGCCGCACATACTAACAAATTAGGATGAGAAAAATATACAATTAATTATAGAAAGAGTTTCATAATAAAATATTTTAAAAGCCTAATGTAAAAAGCTTAAAATCCAAGAATTTTATAAAAATTCTTAATACATAGAACTTGTTTATTCACAATATTTATGCATTAGTAATTACAGCTGTTAGGCAATACTTTCTACTTTTGCTGGAATATTTTGCTTACTTGGAATTAGGAATGTAATAACAACGGTGCCAATCCTAAGAATACTGATGGTGTATGCCTAACATTTCTATGTATTATACATGTAAATAAATTTTATGTGTGTGTTAACACCGAATGTAACATTTATGACTATATACATAAATAATAAAAATAATAATCAATAAAACAAATTAATAATATTAACTTTAATGCAATAGGTGCAATATTTGTTTCTCTTAGTTTTGTCATGTCAACAAGTGTATTTGCACATTGTAATTGATGTTACAGGTTTTCCTCAGTTAAAACCCTGCAGATGTAGGTTAATCTAAAAGCAGTCATAACTTTTTTTTTGTGTGCTTATTTCTCAAATTAATTCCTCCCCCCCTTTACTATATAAGTATTATAAAAATAAAAGTTTTTGATTATAATATTTAAAATTTCATTGCAAATCAGCTAGTTCCATCTGGAGATTTTTCTGGAGTTAATTCGATATCACCGTGGAAGGGCGCTGAATGTATTTCAAATATTTTATCACGTATTCTTAAATTGCTGAATTGATTTTTATATTCTATATCCATAATCTGTATCTCTTCATTATCTAACTACACAAAGAAAAATTCTCCTTTAAACTAATCAGGTTTGACATTTCTTTGGTTACTTAAAATGATTAATTTACTAAATGAATGAATAGTACAAGTGAATGAATACTCTGCCCAAATATCTGTACTTCTGCCAAATGCCAAAGAGAAATACTTGAGATCTTGAATTAAATCATGCAGATTTTGACAATTTCATTTGAAATGCTAGGTTAATTCGAGGCATACCGTTTGCCTCGCCAAAATAAACTTAATATTTAAAAATCATTTAATTTTATCAGGTACAAAATCTTTTGCAACGTTTTCTAAACATTCTTTTACAAACGCACATCCTAAAATAGCTTATTTTTTTAGCAGTTAGAAATGAAATGGAATAACTTGCCTTTACAACATTAAATGGTTGTTTTAAGGCTATACTAAACATTTTTTGTTGAATTTTTAATTGTGATTTAAATCCTGTCAGCTTTGATTATTTTACTTCTTTGTCCAATATTACATAATCACTATGTTTTGTCTTGTAATGTCTTTTCATTTTGTATTCTTCAAATCCAGTGACAGTCTTGAATAATAAATGTCTAACAATAAATAACAAACTGTCTGTTTATACCAATAATTTTTCTTTGTACTTGTAATGAAAATCTGATATACTAAAGACATCAAATAATCCATCTATACCCATGTGTATTAGGTTCAAATATGTTAAAACATGATTGCTCCAGCCTAGTAATTATTGCTTTTTTGATAAATAAGAAGTGTTGACACAACAGCTGCACAGTGCTTCTGTTGACAGTTATTATGACCACCCATGCTGTTTTTACTAATATTTTTTGCTATATTAACAGAAGATATCAAATTAGAAATTTCATGAATTCCACTACAGGTCACAAAATTTTACTGGGTGGGACATACGTGACCCGCAGGTTACCCACCCCTGACGTAGAAGATATAAGGTTCATCTTGCAATGTAAGATACAGATCTCCTTCCAGCAGATAGTGTTCAAAAATCTTCATTCGATGTGATTGGCAACAAATTTGCTGGGCCCTTGTTTATAAGATAGAACAAAGAACAGCACTATGTTTTAAATGCATATGTATGTATGTATGTTAAAAAAACATGTGAAGATCACTTACTTATGGATTAATAATTTATACAAATTGAAACAGTATTGTACTTAGAACAAGCAACTCTATTTTTACAATCAATTATACAGTACAAAGTCCGAAATCCGGACTCGTCGGGATTTCGACGATTCTGGATTAGGGTTTTTTCCGGATTATAGACCATCAATTTAAATATGGTAAGATGACATGCAGAAATTAAACAATTAAAAACATGAAACCATAATTTATGAAATAAAGAGCAATTATGATCTCAAGGGTATCAAAATTTACAAAAAAAAGTTTAATATTTTATTTGTTTACTTTATTAAACATTTCTTTCAATGCAAGTTGTTTAAGTTGCTTTGTTTTTTGTGCTAATACTTTCTCTTTAATTCTATAAACAGACATAATTTCTTGTTCAGTTACAAAGTTCCACTGTTCAAGTCCTGTAATTGCTGTGTCGAGAATACCGACTTACTTGTCGATCGAAATTTTTTCATTTTCAATAACCTCTCTGTCACTTCACTATCGGAAGCGGTATTTTCTGGATCTAGAACCCTACTACAGATTTTGCAGTCCGTTAATTGATCGATGATTGGGCATTATCATCACAATCAAAAACTTCTGTTATATCATCTTCATTTATTACTACTTCTCTACATTTCTTTAAAAAATCCAATAACTGGAAAATTTCACCTTGAGTTTGCAATGTCCGAAAACCTTCAAATTCGCGGTTATCACCTTCATCGTCCTCACCATGAAATATGGTGGTAGCAGGCCATAAATTATGCCAAGCATTTTTTAACATATAACATCCTTCCAACGCGCATGCATAAAGCATACAAAAAATAAATAAATAAATAAATAAATAAATAAATAAATAAAAAGAGAGAGAGAGAGAGTTTGTGGCTTTGAGGTCCAGATTATAAATCATTCTGGATAATGGACATCCGGATTATGGACTTTGTACTGTATCACTTTATTTTTAAATTCTGAATACTGATGAAAACATTCTCAATATCGGTACATTAAATTTCTTACTAAAGAAACACTTATACATAGTTTTACATAAATAAGTAATTTTCAACATTTAATCCAAAAAATTAGCAAACTTGTTCGAAATTTAGCGAAAATTGTTTATTTTTAATTCTGGAACTTTGGAATGTTTCTACAAACATAAAATTAAGAGTGATTCACAAATGGATATTAAACTTACTTTTTCTTCACTAACTTCAAGGGACTTCATATTATTGCCAACGACTCTTAATTCTTCTTCTAATTCAACAATTTTACTGCAGAATAAAATAAGACATTAATGCACAAATTATGTTAAATTTTTCATAAAGAATTCATAAAGTCACTCCCCAGTACAGCAGTCGAAAATCAGCTTCTGTTTATCTTAGGATAACAGATCTAATAAAATAAACACTCATTGATTTTCCTTCTACCAATAGGTTTTTAATAAGACTGACACTTATTTTAAATGAAATTAATTACTTATCTCTTTCCAGGAAGAATTCGATCTTTTTTATCACTTATTTTCATGTTAAAAGACGATATCAATCATTAAAATAGTAAGACAAATTTTATGTAATTTTTATTATATTCACAAACAGGAAGATTCTGATTAAACTTCCTATGCTTGAATTACAGTAAGAAATTTTGAAGACTGTTTTTGAACACAGATAAAAAATCATTAAATAATTATCAAAACTTTATAACTGATAAAGCAATTCATATATAGGCTACTTCCCAACTCATTACAGTCTAATCTTGTATTTACTCCATGCTGTGCATATGAACATTTAATTACTTTTATGAGGTAACGACTGCGACTCTTCGGTTTCAATAAATGGCAGTGAACTTTTTCCTTTCTTGCCGCAGTTCTTATAAAACGAATGAATGCTAAATTTCAAAAGAACTCCATATGAGTGAGCTGGTTAATTTTTCAGAGTTGCTGCATACGAAAGCTATCCAGTAACCACAGTAATGTTTAACACATTTTTAAGTAAATCCCCTACGCTATCATTACTTGTCGCAAAATAAAAGATGGCAGCAGCTCAATATTCTACCCTGTTGAGTAGAATATTAACTGTTAAGTAGAATACTGAGCTGCAAATCCTCCCATCACAGAACTATATTTATGAATGAAATTTGGTTACTATACATTCATGTTTTGTACTTTCCTTTTTGATGTGAATATTTGTTAATGGATTGGAAGTTGGTACCTGCTATAATTTGCAACAATTTGAAGAAATTGAGCATAGAATTAAAATTATCATTCCAGTAACACATGAATATGAATCCTTATATACTCTTACATTTATCTTTCTTCATGTATGTTAAGGGTTCGTGGATTTGGAGTGAATAATGACGACACTTGATGAAGTATCAAAACGAAATTTATTAGCCAGTATCATTCAAGACAGCTTCAATAACATGTTTACAGTCATTGAAGAACAACTATAAACACACTGTAACAATCTGCGACACAGCCTTCAGGCTATCACAGTGAAGACAGCTTCACAGCAAGGCACTAGAGTACAGTTCTCGACTCTGCTTGGTCATTCTCGAAACTCTTACATACTCTCGAGATACTCCGAGCTACAACTTGCGATGCACTCGATGACACACAAGAGTATAGCTCCCGATTCGGTTCAGTCATTCCTGGAGCTCTACACACTCTAAAACGAAGCTCGACAATGCACTAACTGACGATACTCTTAAGAGAGTCTGTCGACGCACTCGACGACCAATTCGGCTCTAGACTTCGAGACATTCTCTGACTATCAATTCACTAGAAAAGACATTAACTTCACACGGACCAGCAGCATTTGCTTTTGGCTTGCGTTAAAGAACATTCTGGGCTAAACCAGTGAGAATTCGTTCCAGAACGTTCTCTACCGTTTATGGCATATCAACAATTTTGTCGCCAAATATGGCAACGTTGCCTTTCCTTGCCGTTTTGTAACACTGTCCACTCCCAAGAATGCATGTCCTGGGCAGTACAACCCTTGGTAGCACAAATTATAAAAATTTTGAATGCAAAGGGAACTAGTTTTCCATGAAAGAACATTTTAGAAGAATGGTTATGATACTATGGACTGATTCATCTATATTAAGTTCACTGTGAAATAATTCAAACCGAATGAGCTTTTCGCTTAAATCACAAAAACTGGTTGAATTTTACTCACTTTATCACTAGGTTACAATACAGATAAATAAAATTTTTAATGAATTAAACAAATAATAAAATCAAAGGCTAACTGTTCTTTTTCATTTTAAAAATTTAATTTAAAATTCTATTTAGAAAAGTAAATCTTTTTTAACTATGTTTACTGACTTTTAGAAATATTGGATTGTTTTCCAAATTTAAAAGAATTTTTGAGTTGCACACTATGAAAAATGTCCATCCATCCCCTCCCTCCAAAAATATTTTTATAAGTTTCTATACACTGAGCATTTCTTGTCTGAATGAGTGTGTAAAATGATCGTCCCAACTTTCATTTCTAAATGGCAATTTCTTCCTGTCAATATAAATAAAATTTTATTCTTAAATGAATTTACAATCTGATGTCCCCAAATGCAACAACAGTTTATAAAAAGAGTAACTAGAAATAATGATGAATTTCTATTTTATATATTATACACTCTAATGGCTACAACATTAACTCTCTGAGCACCATGACTGACTTTATCCGGTCATGAGACTGTTTGTCACTTGGCATATTATTAGCTCATAATTTTGTGATATTTTGCTTGCCTACTTTCTTCTGTAATATCAATGTCATCTTAATAAATGCAAGTTTGTGAAAATTATAGACTAAAATAAGTAAATATACAAATTTAGCTAATACAGGCTGTTTAAATACAGGTCTTCATGATGGATTCAAAAACCCCCCACTGCTCAAAGGATTAATATAACGGAACTTAATCAACATAACATTGACTACTTTCTTGTAAGAATGCAGTAATTATAATATAGTTAAGTATAGCTAAATTTAATTTTTAACTGATGATGAAAATATGAAAATTACTTGATATCAACACGCAAACCCAAGTCATGTTAAAGCACATGCACAGACATGAAAGCAAAATAAGCATTTAGAAATACAACTAGAAGTATAAAATTACATAGAAATGCATATGAAAAAGTATTTAAATTTATCTGCAACTGAAACATTTGGTATTTTGTTCATATTTAAATATATAAAATAATTTTCATGGAAGAGCTTCAACTTATTTTTCCCACCTTAAATAACAATGTCAATAAATCTCCTCAGCGGTTATTATTTAACTAATTCTTTCAGTTTAGTATTTTTCCATCATGGAACATGAGCAAAAATAATCATCAGCAGCTGTTATTTAACTAATTCTATAATTTAATGCTCTGAGCGGCACAGGTTTTTGGATTTTGTCATGAAGACCTGCATTTATGCAGCGTTTATTAGCTAAATTTACATAATTACTTATTTTAGCCTTTATTTTCATAAACTTATTCATTAAGATTACATTTACATTATTTAAGAAAGCAAAATATATTAAGTTATAAGCTATTATGTATCAAGTAACAAAAAAATCTCAAGACTGGATAAAGCCGCTCATGCTGCTCAGAGGGTTAAGGAAATCTGCTATAACATGAACTGATGCCAGAAAGATATCCTTTTACAGCAGATAAAAGTAATTACAATTACAGTACTTACCTATGTACTTACCGTTAAACTGTGCACAACCATGTTGGCACAGTTTAACGATTTTAAACAAGTTAACAAATTACAAATGTGAAGAATTATCTATTACATACCTACATTTTAAGATTCAATTAAGTACTTTACTTGAAAATCAATCAATAAACCTACTTGCAAGCAGATGTTTCTTTCTTTTGTTTTAGCAGATAATTATGTAGTATAGTTACAGAACATATTCAAAGCACCAATCTCTTTAAACATTTTCTTGCAAAATAACATATTCTGGGAAAGTTTTCCTCAATTTCTTCTACTGCAAACAAACTCCACAAGCCATAAGAGGGAAAAAAAAAAAAAAAATCACTATTTGCCTATAAAAACCATTGAAGCTTGTCATGACGTGATGACCACGCATGCGCAGTTTTAGCCCAATGGCCTGCAGACTTACTAGAGAAGAGCAGGCAGTTAGTAACGAAGTAACGAAGGTAACATGCTGTATGCCAGCATGAATGAAAATACACAGTTATACTTTTGTGTTAATCGTTTGTTCTTATTTTGTTCATGTGTTAATAAAGTCTTTGTGCCATTAAATGTTTGGTTTTATGCAATGCCCACATTACGATATGCCTACGGTAGAAATTAAATAAATAAATATATCCAGAACCTACACGCCCAAGAAGCAGGATATGACCGTGGTGTCAGAAAAGGAGGATATGTCATTCTTCAAAATTCATGGGTAAACGCGTAAAAGAATCTTCTGAAAGGTAGGAAGTACTTTGTTCAATTTATTTTGTGGTAAAGTAAAATTCAAGGTTACAAAAATGGCTGAAGAGCTAACGAAATCTAAGAAAGAACGGAAAGTTATTCGTTTAGCCATTACTAAAGAAACAAATTCTATTGAATCATTAATTGCAGCCTGTAACCTTGAAGACCTCGAAGAATCACTGGCATTGTTAAAGTAAAAGCTATTTCTTTGAGAGCGTTAAATGAAAAAATTAAAACTTTAACTGATGTTAATGACATTGAAACCAAAATCGGAGTGCCTTGGAAATACGAAGAAAAGATTGCGAAATAGAGCTTTAGAGGAACAAAATTATAGAGGGGAAAAAAAAAAAAAAAAAAAAGCAAAAATTCGCTAGTTTCAAATGGTTCTTCTAATGATAGTAACAATTTATCCATTTCTGGTGTCGGTAAAAGTTCTGATTATAATGTTAAACTGCCAAAGATTATGATTGATAAATTTTATGGAAACGAAGTGTGGCAAACATTTTACAATTCTTTTGACGCGGCAATAAATCAAAACGAAAAACTATCTAAAGTGGATAAGTTTAATTACTTGCTTAGCCTGTTAGGCGGTGCAGCTTTAAAATAAAAGGTTTTTCTTTATCTCCAGAAAACTACGACGAAGCTTTTAAAATTCTTAAAGACAGATTGGGTTGAAAAGATCTCCTTATTAATTCTTACATGCATAAACTCTTAAATTTTCGGCCTGTTCGAAGTTCTAATGACATTAATTCTTTGAGGGAATTATATCACACCTGCAACGTACAAGTAAGGTCACTAAATTCAATAGGGGTCAAAACCAAATCGTATGGAAATTTACTACACCCTTTGATAATGAAATGCATACCTCAGGATATAACGCTCGATTTTGCTCGTCAAAACGCAGATGAGGAAAATTTTAATGTTGGCGACCTCATGAAATTTCTAAAATGGGAAATTGAAAGTCGCGAACGAACTTCATTAAATTTATTTTATTCTAAGAGTTACGCTAATTCTCTTGAAAGGCATTCTCAACCCAATGAAAAGCAAAACAACTTCCACACTTGGAATTCATTCAATGCCAACAAATTTGGCACCAACTATTCCCCAAATGTAAGCAAAATTGCAGAAATTTTCCTTGCTTATTTTGTGAAAGCGGAAAAACATGTTTTGGAAAAATGCGTTATGTTTCTGGAAGAAAGGAAAAAATTTAAAGGCTTCTAATCGGTGCTTTCTTTGTTTCGAAAGGAACTGTAGAACAAAAAATTGTCTTTCTCAATTAAAATGTTCAAAATGTAATTCTAAGTATCATAATATATTGTTGCATAAAGTAAGGAAAGGGTTGCTTACTTTATGCTTTATATTATTAAAGAAAAGAAGAATAATTCTAACGGTGTAACAGCAGAGATTTCTTCTAAATACTTTTCTGTGAATCAAGAAGTTAAGGAATTAATAGATGACTTGCCAATTGTTAAACCTATATGCGATGGTAAATTAATGAATGCAGTAGCAGATACAGGCACACAATTAACCAAGTCTGACATCGTACCAGAAAAATACTGTATGCCACATGGAAGTGTTATCCTCACGTCAGCTTTCGGACAATCTTTCAAAGCTCCTCCCATTAACCTACCTTTGATAATGTATTCTGAAAATGATAAATTTATGTCACCTATTTTTTATAACATGTGCAATGGTGGATAAGTTATGTAATGATTTACTCTTGTCGTTACGTGCTTTTAATGAGTTAAGGGGGGATGATAAACGAAAGTTTAATTTTGAATGCAAAAATGCAACCATTACTAATGATAGGTTCGTTGAAATGCCTTTTCATGAAACTGAAAATTTTGTCGAAATACTTAACCATGATAGGGAAAACCTAATTAATGAAAAATGTAATGAAACTGTTAAAAAAATAATAGAATGTTGTGCTCTTGTATATGAAGATACAGGTAAGGATGATTCTAAAGGTAGCACGAGACACGATCAATTTGTTTTGGATTCAGAACTGTTTCGAGTGCAACAAATGAATGACCCATCTTTAAAAACATGCTGGCAAAATGCTAAGAACGGAAGTAATAACTTTATTGTTATTGACAACTTTTTGTATCATTAAGTTTTAGGAGAAAGAGTTCAGTTAGTCATTCCTAGAGAAAGAAGAAAACTAATTTTGGACTTGGCTCATTCTAGCTTATGGGAAAGTCACCTGCGAACCAAGAAGACAGCCGAACGTTTGAGATATTCCTTCTATTGGCCTGAAATCAAAAAAGATGTAAATGAATATTGCAATACTTGTACTTTTTGTCAACTTCAAGCAAAAAAAGCGTCCCTTAGATGAAGTTCCGATTACGCCAGTAACACGTCCTAAAGAACCATTCCAGGTAATTAATGTGGATATCCTCGGACCTGTAGAGCCAAGTTGTAGAGGTTATAAATATGTTCTGTGTGCTGTTGATCAATGTACAAGATGGCCCAAAGCGGTGCCATTGAAGAATTTGAATACCAAAGCAACATGCGATGTGTTGTTGCGAATCTTTTCACGCACAGGAATCCCTCAGATTGTTGCTTTGGATCAAGGAACTAATTTTACTGCTTCGTTGACTCGAGAGTTTTTGAAAAGGATCGGATCGTCCCCAAGGTTCTCGACTCCTTATCATCCAAATTCAAATGGCCTTGTAGAAAGATTTAATGCTGTTTTAAAGGGAATGATACATCATACCATTAGGGAACATTCCAAAGATTGGGAGAAATATCTACCATACTTACTTTAGGCTTATCGAGAAGTTCCTAATGCTACGACTAGTGTTAGTCCTTTCCAAATGCTTTATGGAAGATGTCCTAATGGCCCTTTGTCTATCTTGAAAACGTCATGGACTGATGAAACTCCTGTTCCTTATGAACAGCTAAATTCAGTTACCGATTATCTGAATGATTAGAAGATGAAATTGGAAAAAGCTGCTGAATATGCTGGACTTACAGATATTGGAAAGCAACAAGCTTATGCATTCTACCATAACCGAAAGACTCGTCATAAAGAATTAAAAGAAGGTGACAGGGTTTTAGTTTTAATCCCTGATAGTCAAAACAAAGTTTATGCCAGATGGACGGGACCTGCTACGATCATCAAAAAGCATACTGATTATAGTTACATAGTACAAATGTCTGACAATTCCTCGAAGCACATTCATGCAAACAAGACATGAAAGTTCAATACCGCTGTGAATAATGTCGGTGTGATACATGATACAGATATTGACTTAAGCGAAGTTGAAAATGTTCCAAGAATTGTTCCATGGAAAGCAAAAGAACACTATTCTAATGAAGAATGTGATTTTACGCACCTTGAACAGCATAAGAGAAAAGAATTTATGGAAATTTTAAGAAGGCATAAGAACCTAAGAGCTGGTATTCCAAAAATCGCCAATGTTAGAGAACACCGCATCAAACTGAAACCTGGAAGTATGCCAAAAAAGCAGAAACCATATCGAAAATCTGAAGTTCTAAAACACGAAGCTGATCGACAAATAGATAAGCTTTCACAGCTAAAGCTAACTGTTGAATCAGAAAGTAAATATGTGCAAACAGTAGTTTGTGTGTCAACAAAAGGGAACGGTAACATGTGTAGAGTAAAAGATTATGCTGAGTTTATTGATGACGTGACTTAATGACATGATTATATTTTTCAGTGAGTGAAGAAAGACTGACGTTATGAACTAATGACATTTTCACTATTTTTGTTTGAACATCTTTTTTACCTGAAATGCTAAGCTTTTGATTTTTTTTTCTAATGTTATGTAATATGTTTAAAGATTTAGTCAGGGTTTGCTAAAGTATTATGTTTAATTTTAAATGATTGATTTGTATTGTCTTTTTTATATGATTATGTGAAAGATTTAAATTTGAAAAGTTAATTGAATGTTACATCTTTTAAATAAGATTACTGAATTTATGTTGAAGTAACTTTAATTTAAAATGGTAAGAATTGGTTAATTAAGTTAAAAAATTTCATGAATGTAATTTTGTTTTGTTTCAAAAAATATTTATATGTGTGGATTTGACAGGTCATTGAAAGACGCAATCAAATCTTTTAGAGGGGAGGTGTCATGACGTGATGACCATGCATGCGCAGTTTTAGCCCCACGGCCTGCAGCACCTCTCTCTCTCTTTCACGTGACTTACTAAAGAAGAGTAGTTAGTTAGTAGTTAGTAGTTAGTAGTGAAGTAAACATGCTGTATGCCAGCGTGAATGAAAATACGTAGTTATACTTTTGTGTTAATCGTTTCTTCTTATTTTATTCATGTGTTAATAAAGTCTTTGTGCCGTTAAATGTTTGGTTTTATGCAATGCCCACATTATGATACACCTACGGTAGAAATTAAATATATATCCAGAACCTACACGCCCAAGAAGCAGGATATGACAGAGCTGTAACTTAAAAGAAAAAAAAACCCACGTTTCTTGTTGCTAAAAAAATTTTATATTAATGGTTGCCAGGATTTTGCAACTTCTACTAAGGTAGTTGTACTTAAAAAAAAAAAAAAAAAAAAAAAAAAAACCTAGTAGCTCTCAGCAATAAATATCTCAAATTCCAACCTCACCCCCATCCTTTTTTTATGTTACAATAGTTGATACTTAGCATATAAAAATTCTACTTACTAAAAATTAAATATTCCATAAGGAATTTTTAATGCTGCTGTTAAGAGCTATATTAATGATTAACTGAACGAAACAAAATATTGATTCTATAACAATAAATAAAAATTTTCATTAAAAGCTTCATTTCAGTGCATTTTTAGAAAAATTCTTCTGAAGGAATTTTGAAACAGAGGGCCAGGGAGGGATACAGCCAGTAAATCAAGCTCTCTAAAAAGTTTTGTGAAAAAAACTAACAAAAGAGTTCACACACCTTTCACCTATTGATGCTCTTTCTTCTGCGCGTTCCAAATCTGCTTCCAACATAGCAATACGACGTGCCATCTAAATATGATAAATGTAATAAAAATATGAAGTTATATGTGGTCATATACATGTAAAAAATTGCAAAATATTTGAGACAAAAACTGCCATGGGAAGTGCTAACATACCAAATATATGCCTCTCTGAGGAAACTCAATCTTTTCATTAAAATCATATAAAAAGTTATTACAAGAAATGTTCTTAGACATTTAAATAAAATTATATAAAAAACAAAATAAATCTAAAATCACAGAAGACAAAATCAGATTAGTTAGGAAAAATAAACAGAATAAGAGGCATGCATTTTGTTTTTGGATATGTACTTTACCATTCAAATTCCAAGTTATTACATTACCAGTCATAAACATATGTTTGCATTCTTTGATTGCAAATAAAAATATTCTTGATAAATCACAATGTGGGGTCACCTAAATTAGATTCATTTTTTCATAAAAAATCTTATGATGATATTTACAGCATAAGCATTGGTTTTATTGTAAAAGATATGAAAGCACCTTCAAGTGCAAAAATTTGCCATAATTCTCTTCCAAAGAACTCTTCAGCAATTTTAAAACACATATTTTAAATTTTGAGATGCAAGTTATTCTTTATTTGTAAAGATACAGAAAATATGAAGAAATTATATTATGATGAAAACAACGCTGTGCAATAAATATGAGAAGTAAATGAGAAGAAAAAAATACGATTTTTTGCCCTTGTGTGTGTGTACAGGTGCAATATGATAATGTAAATGCACCTTCAAGATCATTTTAGATGGCTTCCTGAACCACTCATCAAGAAAAGTGTATAAGCATACACTTGTAACCATTCCTCTCAAACTGTATTTTATGTTTTCAACAATCACAGATGGTAACTTTTAGAAACAAATGGTAGGGAGAAAGGTGGCAAGCATTTTTGTTTTCCTAACAGCAGAGATTTTATTATGTAAAAGGCAAATCATCATCTGCTGCTTTATCAAATACCCAACTTTCACCATCTGCACGGATTGGTAAAATACTTCACTTTTTTTTTTTTTTTTTCCAGTATAAATTTGCATCAGTTTATACATGACTCTCTCACAGCTTATCAATAAAGAGATGCAGCACCCATAAGGAATATCATTTAAACTATACATTAAACTATACAATCTACACTGACCTTCAGTCCAGTTTTCTTACATTTTCTGCTCTGACTGAAGTGGACTGATGCCCTCCATTTGAGTCATTTTGCAGGAAATTTTTTCATTATACACCTAAACATTAATGTGGCTGCTTAAGTAACTCTCTCTTAACCCATTAACCGCCAAAACTACAAGGAATGTTTCTTTTCTCATGAAAATAATAACAAAGATTAAATTAAGCATTTATAACATAAATTTACACTGAAAATTTAAAAAAATGCTCTTACCTGTGGAAAACACGAGTGTTGCGTTCGCGCAATGTCAGCGGAATAATACTACGGATAAGGATTGTACTCGTGTGATGTTTCTTTTGAGTGGAGCGCAGGATTACTTTTTAGCTGTATAACATTTTATAAATCTACAAATCACTTTACTTGTAATTAATTTAATATTAAAATATACATTGTATTTCTTTTACAAATACAGATTATTTCATCTGAAAAATTCAAGCATGACAAGCTTGATTACAATCATGATGTAAAGGTACATTACATACTTTGCATCTATAAACAGTCTGGCTATGGTACTCTTTATAACAAAGTCTTTTGTTATCAACGGACTTTACGATAAAATGTCTACCATCTCCATGCAATGGTTTTTGAATGCTGAATTTACTAGGTCTTCCTGTTGCTGATCTATTTCTGGCTAATTCTACACTCTCAATAGGAGTTTGCAAAAGTAATAATGCATTCTCGCGTCTGAAATCTAAAAGAGACTTTATATTTCCAGTAGTAAAAAGTGGTGATATTTAGTAAATTTAGATTCGGTCTCACCTCATATAATTTATCAGTATTGTCAATTTGACTACTGTCAAATGCAAATTCTGCTTCATACTCCTGTACTGCAAACGTGATATCAATTCTCGTACAACAGGAACAGAAATGTCCTTATCAAAAGACCAATACATTTTTTCTTGATGTAAAGAATGATATCCTGTAAGCAATAATATTCCAATAAATCTTCTCATATAGGCTGCAGATGCAATAAATTATGGGTGGTTTTTTTTTTTTTTTTTTTTTTTTTTTTTTTTTTTTTATTTTTTTTGCTGAGCGTATATATTTGTCTGTTCAACTAGAAGAGGGTAAATGTCTAAACCAAAAAGAAAATCGAAAATCTGTGCATTAGTTTTACCTTGTGTTTTGCCTTTTATAATTTTTCTTCTATCTCTTTCTTCATGTTCTTCCTGAGACATAACCGGCAGTTCCTTTTTTATCCACTTCAAGATTTCAGTCTTCTGCTTTTTAAACTTTTTAGTATGACTATAAGTGCTTTTAGAAGGCTGAAACTTACTTCTTACGTGAATTTCAACTTCCCCAGCAGTATCATTTGGTAAAATATCATTATCATTATTTAAAACATTATTCTTCGTCACTAGTCTCTGCAATTTCTGGGAGAACAACAATATCAGTTTCATTCTCGTCATTATTAACATTATCATCACCTGTTTCTTCATCAAAAAATCTTTGAAGGGCTTTTTCTAATGTAAGATACCTCGATCTAGGCATATTTAAACAACCAGAGCATGAACCAGAACATCGAAAGGAATGAGTGAAAAAGGAGATTGACTACCCGTTTCCTGCTGACGTTAAACATCTGACTGATGTAATGTTCTGATAAACAGTGATCTTGACTAAAAATAGATCATTCATAACGACCGCGATTTCTTAAATATTTTCAGCAAAAATACCCCTTCGAAAATTTTGCTTAAAGTACGAGATTAATTATTATAAACAATAATTATTATAAACAAAATGATTGTTGAAGGCAAATATTTTTTTACAGAAATAATCTTCATAATATTCCCTACACAAAATCATCTGCTGGTATAAAATATCTTAGGTAGTTATATTTATATACGCATTTATTTTGATCATTGCGTCAACAAGGCATTCCTCTAACTTCCTCTAACTTTAATCCTTTTTTAGAAGGCAAACTGCTAGAGAGTATAACGGCTAAATGCTCTTGATAACTTTAATGACTCTGAAAGCAAGACACATTTAATAGACTTAACTTACCACAAGTTAACAGAAAAAATATGGTGACATCAAATGATTAATCATCATGAATGATAAAGACTTTACAATTTTTAGAATGTCCAATTGTTCAGTACTTATATAAAATATTTCTCAGAAGTTAATTAACAAATTTCATTAATATTTTGGGGTATCAATGCTTGTAAGCATGAAATTAATGGAGGAAAGTATTAAAACAACTTTAATTCAAGGCAAATACTCAAAAGTATATGTTAGTAAGAAACACACAGGGTTTCCATGGATTCTTCACAATTCATATTCATATTCTCTTTACAATTCTGCTTATGTCAGAACATGCAAGGATACACCATTATTTACTTATTAAGTCTTAATTTCATGCAGAATTCTCCAACAGTTAGTAGTGCAAACAAGATATTATGAATCCTTCTAATATTCTCAAGAAAGTATTACTGGAAGAAATTTTCACTTTCAAAAGAGTAACATATTTCTAAATACCACACCCTTAAGAAATTAAATAGGGGGTAAATTACCAAACAAGCCCCTCCCCCCCAAAAAAAGGGAGCTCTGAGTTACTGAAATAAAAAAATTTATAAATTTTAAAAATGCTAGTCACTTTTTTTTTTTTTTTTTTAAATGCAGTTCTTGAGTAGATTTTTAAAGCACTTTATAAGTTGGGTAAAAAATAATTGTATTTCAAGAGTAGACTTTTAAAATATAAAGCAAAGAGCATGGTTTTCACAAAGTGAAATTTCCTAAAGAAAAACTGTCAGTGCATTGTGTTTCTATTGCATTTCTAAGAGAGGCTTTTCTATGGTGTCTTGCACAAAATAATTATGAATATAAGCAAATGAAATGCTAACAAAATACAGTAACTTCAACACTTCATCCATTATAGTTAAATGTGAAAGCCTTTAATATTAAAATGGAAACAACTTTTTAATGTCCTATTCGGGTACAATTTAGGGGTTTCATTGCACAGGCACTTCAAGTTCCAAACAGTTAGGGAAACACATAACCATGCTGTAAGTTTAATGCTAAATCTAGATGTTAGTTACTGATGCATGCTTACAAAAGCATGTACATCAACCTCACTTGTAGAAAGTAGCTAGAGTTCCACATGTTGAAATCAAATGAAAGGACCCAGTCCCATCAACTCTTAACCATACTTGAAGTATACTTGAAGACTTCAGAAAAACACCTCACTTAAATCAACCTATTGCATAAGGAATAAAGTTTACCAAAAGAACTTCTAGATATTTATAAATAAAATCATTAAATATGATACACTACTTAAATTTAGTCTTCCTTCCTAACATATAAGAAAATAACTAACACTATTTCAATCAGTTTACTGCTATGATACAAACTAATGATGCAAAAAACATAAGTTCTCTTGATTACTTAATTAAAAGGAAGAACTTTTTTTAAATTTCATAATGCATGCCACACAAATGTAAAATTTTGATACCTATTTCTTTAAATACTTTAAATAATTGTTTTAATACTTTAAATAATAGGAGAAATTTAAAATTTATTACAGTAAGTAATAATTAAGTCCTTAAAATTCTTGTAAGGTTAAAGCCTCAGAATCTGAAATAAGCAGATTATCACATTTCGAAATGGCACATTACACATATTACAGTATTATCTCCAAACAATACAACATACAGTACCATTTATATACATTAAAGCATTATCTCTTATAATGTATATCATCAAAACATTCTTTCATAATAGTTAAGTGTTTAAAATACAACATGACCAGAATCTTTTTATTTTATAACAACACATGACCACCATAATTTTTTATTAATTAAAATTCTTAACCATTTAATAAGTTCTTAACATAATCTTGTTATAATGTTATAAATACATGTAATAAAAACAGAGTCAGAAGTGAAGACTAGCAGGATTTTGATGGAGTAGAAGTGTTAATCCATAATGAATAGGAAACTGGAGGCAAAGGCAGATTAAATCTTCATTTTTTATTTCAGCAAACATGTTGTGGCCACAATCAAGTTGGCACATTAATCGTGCCTATACCAAGAATTTTTACATTTTAGATGATTTGCAGATGTGTATAAGATAAAAAATATGAAATCAAACTTCTAAATTTAATTCATTATAACCTCTTATTTTTATTTCATTAGGGAACTTCATCTCTTTGCCTTAGAAATAGCACTACAAGTCTAAACTGTGTCATTCAAATTAATCGTGTGATCTTACGCAATGCTTACTGCAGATATCTCTTGTCCAAGCAATTAATTGTAAACCAAAACTTATCTTTTGCCTCTCCCCTTCTTCCTCCGTGTTACTACTGCGGCACTCGCTCTCTTTTCGCTTAGACTTCCATAATGTTAAAGACGTTTTGCTGCAATCATCTATGTATTGCTATGATAGCTTCTACCGGTACAGTATCAAAATTGTGAATATTTATGGAAGTGGGCACGATTGGAGTACCAAGTGAACTGTGGCCACCAAAATGTGAATTTAAATAAATATAGAATTTAATTCGGCTCGAATGTTTATTCTTCAAAATGGATGGACACTCTAAGCATCAAGTATTTATTCCATCAGCATTTCTGCGTATCTACATCGTAGTGTTCTTACATTCAATGCTTCCAAAATTGTATTAATATTACACACATATATTTTTATCATCTTATATTAGTTACAAAAACAGCTTAAAAATTACATTATCCTTATACAACTTTTAAAAGTAAGTTAGAAATGAAATATGAACAAATAATTAAAAGAAAAGAACCCATTTAAATTACCTCTTCATATTTTTTATCAGATTCTTCAGCAATCAATCTTGCCTGACCTAACTGAGTTTCAAGAAGAGATATTCTATCATCTTCCATATTTGTGCGATTTTCCAGTGCTTTACGAATGCTGCAATAATTCCAAATGGAAGAAAACATTAACAAAATTGTGATTCTAATATTTAATAAAATTTTTAATTTTATAAGCAAAAACATAGCAACATATTTTGTATTCAAATAAAATATAGGCATACATATTTTGTATTCAAATAAATACAGGTTATAAAACATAACAAACTACATCAAATAAATATGCAGAATAAATTTATCATAAACATACATTAAAAACAAACTTGCTCAGTTTTTTTAAATATTCTACTACTAAACTTCTTACAGAACATAATTTTCAGCTAGGCAGCTTAACTAAAAAACAGTGATGTATATAGTTAAGTTTCAAGATAAAATATACTGTGCATAAATTATACAAAGCATAAAACTTAATGCTTTTGTTTTTCAAGTGATATAAACAGGTTCTACAGCTGAATAGAAATGTTTCAGCATTTAAAAGCATTAATTTTTACATTAAAAATTTGAAGATAAATCACGTAATAAATGGCCTACCGTTCACTTTCATCTGCAGCCTGAGATGCTTCCTCTAATTTTTGTGTTGCAATTTTCAATCTTTCCTCAGAGCGTTCTAGGTCTTCCTCTAGCAACTGAATTCTCCTATTTAAAGCTGCTACTTCACTTTCAGCCTGAAAAAGAATTAAAAATAACAGTTAGGTAATATCGACATTTGACCACACTAATATAATTTGTTTATAAACATAACTTCAAATTAAATAAAAGATAACAATTTTTTTAAATTCGTTTTAGATCTTTTTTTTTAATACTGAAATTAGGGGGGGGGGAACTCCCGGAATTCCAAGAGAATTGCTACTATTAATATAAGGAAAGATGATGTAAGTGCTTCAAAACTGCAACACGGGTTATTATGACTGAACTATTTCTGCCTACTTTGCAAATTCAGGAATGGTAAAAACATGTAAAATTCTTAAAATTATAATAACATCTGTCAAAAATTCCAGAAAAGTTGTGTTAACCTTTTCCTAGGGGCTGGGACATGTGTCCCGAACTAAGTATACAGCAACTGGGGATTGTTTGTTGTTGGTAGCAGGGGTAGGAATTCTAGCACTTGAGGCTTGATGACTATTTTATGACACCCCGTAGACTGCGTTCTTTTGTAGGATTCCGCTAATGGATTAGGGAAAATTGTCTGTGTTTTGAATTCACATGTCTTGTTGACAAATTTGGTATCTTCTAGGAAATATTTTGTTGAGAGGAGAAAATAAAAGAATAATTTGTTACCTCGATTCACACGTGTTTATGTTTTCAGGTTTTTTCCTCTGCAAATACGGCTTAGAAGTCAAATATCAAAGAAATTTTATTTTCGGAAGTTCAGCTGCTAAAATTATTCGGAAATTATTTTAAAAGCTTGAATGTATTTATAAAAATGCATAATTTTTTCAGTTATTTATGATCAAATTCTTTTTAATTTGGTTTCAATTCGAATTTGAAATTGCCTTTCTTTCATTCTTTTCATAAGTGTTTTTATCACTTTATTCCAATTTTTAATGAGCATGTTAATAAATATAAATGTTTCAGATGATGAAAATTAATTTTAATATTATTTCTAAATGACATACATTTAGGGTTTCCACTTCTCCCGGATTTGAGTAAAATCTCCCGACTCCCGGAAGGAATTTAAAATAAATATTACTCTCCCGGAATATCAAGTTTCTCGAAAATAAAGACACAATGTGCATGGACGAAATGGTTGAGAGCATCAAAAATCACACGACCACGCACAGCAGCTAAGGAATGTCTATATCAATACATATACTTTGCTGCAGCGATCTGCGGTGAGTAAGTGCCTTACTGGATGAGTCCTGGTTTCATGGCGCGTGTCGCGCGGACGCGCCCTCATCTCCCCTAACCCTCTCATTTTCAATCCACGCTTTCATTTAGTCTGCACTTAGCTAGCTATCTACAAACAAGTGCATATTTTGAAATTATTTAAATGCTTTCATAATAATGTCTAGTGAAAAAGACTATTCTGCAAGTAAACAAATACCAACACACACACACAAAAAAAAAGACGAAATATTCGACATTGTTTCAAGACAAGTGGTTAACTCAATTTGATTAGCTTATGAAGAGAGACAACTTTAACGGAGAATTTAAAGTATGTCGGAAAACGGTTAATATTAAGTACGAGGATGTTAGAGCTTTAACTGTACATTCCCAAAGCAAAAAAGACCAGTCGTTAATAGGGATTCTTCGCAATCGGTTTCGAACTTTTTCATAAAGAAATCTTCAGAAGAACAAGACAATATATCAGCAATTGAAATTACTTCAGTCTATCATAGGATTAAGCACCATCACACTTTTAATAGCCAGGATTGCACAAATTGTATAACACTTTATTTCCAGATTCTTCTTTGCCAAAAACTATTTTTTGTGGTAGAACAAAATGTACAAGTATTTGCGAGAGTGTGCTTGCTCCTATAGCTCAAAAAATACTTTTACATGAGATTAAGAATGCAGAGATTTTTTTCAGTAATGGCTGAAAAAAACTTTTTTTTCTTCTCCCAGAAACTTTTTTCCTCTCCCGGATTTTGACAGCCAAGAGGTGGCAATGCTACATACATTCCACGACTACTGCTTACTTGAGTGAAATTTTGGTTTGTTATGTTCTAAATGATAACTAGCAGCCGAGCAGATACTATTTCTTTAACTCTGATAATTTACTCTGGATTCAAATTCCGATGAATGGATTGACTTCATGAACTTTTCTTATTATCTCACATATATAAAGAGTATATCAGCCAATTTCCTTTGAAGGCACTCCACGATAGCCCCTTTCACTTACGTAGATAACACTTTCTTTAATCCGAGAAATAAAAATAAAATTATATTCGAAATAAGAAAGCTAAACTTAAGAGCGTTTCATAACTGTTTAGAAACCCCTCCTTTTATGAATAATTTCGAAGACAAAATGAATTTTAATTGTGCGACAAATAAAATAAAAATTTTTACTAAAGCAATTACTATAGAACATTTTCTAATTCAAAATTTTAAAAAAGTTTCAAAACTTATTACTTTATCCATTGTTATACGTTTGCGTCTATAATGTCATATCTATATCAATTCGTTCAGAAATTAGACACATTTTAGGTTAATTGAATATGGGAAAGCACACGAAGGCTGCCTACCTAAAGAAAAAGATGTCTTCGAGGAGATCTTTAGAGGAAATAGGCTTTTACTCATGTTTCACATGGGGGAAACAACGAAACCCGACCGTGGGGCCAGCTCGATCGTCTGACGTTGAACTAACAGCATTCAGCAGCCTTAACCACTCAATTGCTAGTAGTGTTCAAAAGGTAATTAATTTTACATGAGAATTGCGTTTTGGAGGGAATCAAATAAGATATTGGAATACTAAGCATGTACACAGAAATTCAGATGTGTAACCACTTTTTAGTTCCCTGAATTTAATCCTCAGTGCAAATCTTCATTAATATTCATCAACTTAGTACGAATCTTCATTCCCAGCTTCATTACTCCCAAAGAAAGCAAGTGTAAATAGCTTGAGATCTGAAAATTTTGCATAACAGTTTAATACCTCAAAGGTGATTTTAGCAATCTTAAAATGTAAATCATAAAAAACTGAACAAATATTTCGCTATTCGACAAAGATGTTTACTATGTGAAATATCAATGTGTTCCTGTATATGCAATTTTATATTCAAAGAAAAAAATGGTGTAGCAATATAAATCATCGAACAACTATCATAAAAGTAATATTTATCAACAAAGTAATATCTTATATCGCTAAGTGATAAAACTAGTTTTTGTTACTGAATACATTAAAACTCAACAAGGATTTTATTTTCTAAACTCCAGGGTTTGCATCTGCATTTCTTTCTTGAACCAAAAGCTATGAAGCGGTTAAAAATTAAACCTCTTATATGCCTGATGTAAAGGCGGATCAACTCTGGGACCGCTATTTGAAACGCCACATGGAAGAAATATAAATAAAAAATTTCTTGTCTCATGCATTGTAAATTTTTAGTGCAGTACAAACGCAGTGACCAAATTCTATTTCTCCAGAAATGAATATTACCAGAGGTGTAAAAGTAATAACACTTATTTTGGAATCCAGAAATTCTTTTTAGTAAAGTTTTTAGTTTCTTTGTAGTAAATAAACTCTATTTAATTTGCTCTTCAACATCAGAATAATAACACTATTAAAAATGAAAATATACATACTGTTTTGCAGGAAATGTTTAAATATTTTAAATCGCTGAATTTTCGATACGATGACATGCGAATATATTTAACTCTGATTGCTTCGTTTATTTTTTAGTACATAATCTACGTGCAAGTTTAAAAAACTATTTTAATCATAAAATGGAACACTTTTTAGAACAAAATTTTCTAGTTGTAGCATACATTTCATCTGAAGATAAAACAATATTTTTTTTTTTCCTTGGGAAAACTGCATTCATCTACCTGAAGTGTAAAAGCGATTAGAGAGCATCCCGCATTCTAACGCTTAGAGCATTGGAACTGGATTGAAAGGAAATCCTGACCGTTTCCCTGCCTGCCCGACAAAAGAGCACTAATCACCTAGTCGTCAAGACTCGATTTGATAATTTTTCCCCCTTTCCATAACCGCTGAGACAAGAGCCCCAGTTTATACAACTGTTTTTCAAGCCCACGGGAAAAGGTTAACATTTTAGTTATTCATATTTTTTTTTTTAAATGCACATGTAAATTTATTTGTGTGAAATATATAAGATGAATAAATAAAAAGTATATAAGGAAAAATAATTTCTCTTTCCACCTGAAATAAAGTGACAAGACAAAAAATGGCCATTATACCATCAAACTAAGCACTAATCCAGTAATACTAGCAATTTCTTTTTAGGAGTTCTTTTTATGAACTGCTCATTACTGTAGCAAGATTTCAAAGGCCAGAAGAACAGCATAAAAATTCCTGCATAATGTTTTGATAAACTTTATAAAATATTCATTCATTTTTTTAAATTTTGATTAACATAGTTAAAATTTTTAAACTGATTTCCAGTTAATTAACAAACTATCCATTGGAAATACTTAAAAAAAATCAAATTTAACACAGCTTAAAATATTTTATTAGTATCCATCTGTTTTATTTGATTACAGCAAACCATGCAAGAGCTATCTGCCTAAGGAAAAGGATGCCACCATGTAGAGAGTTCCTGGTTTGTACTCATAATAAACATATGCAAAACCAAAAAATGCCCATACAGACAACATTCAAAAGATTCAAACCCAGGTCAAATTATCAGGTGTTGCTGAATTCATATGCCTACTAGAGTTCACCAGGTAATTAGGCATATAGATTCAGCATCTACGTATATTCATCTTCTAGAATAGCAACTGCAATGAAAATCAAATGATTCACTCTGCCAAATTTTTATAACTCTGACATTAAAAACATCACTAAAACTTAAGCTCCATTCATATGCAACGCTCCTTCGCACAGCTGCCGTTAGCAAGAGGAGGAAAAAGAGACATGAAAGAGTTTCGTCTTTAGGACCCGTTCAGAAGACCACCCTCGTCCTTCCCTTTCCACCTAAGTCTCTGTGAACAATCACGTCTCCGAATTGGCCAATTTCTAATACTGTTTACACGTTTTTAATGTTGT